GAGGCTTGGTTGGCCAGGCTCTGGGCAGGCAGCCCCAACACCCAGGTCTTTTCTGTGGTAAAGTTGGGCATGATGAGGGATTAAGGTCAGAAAGGGAGAAGGTGCTAAGTGGTGGGGTACAGGGACTCCCCACATCTTTGGCTGATAGCCCAGCACTGAGTGTGGATAAAGACTGGGATGGGACAGGCTGGGTACCATATTGGCCTGACTGTGAGATTCTGAACAAACCTTGACTTTTCCAGCTTCCCAGCAGCAGACGGCGGGGCAACACATACAGAGCCATCACCATGTGTCCTTGCTCCAAGGACACGATGCACACAGGCTAGGGAGCATCAAGGCCAGGGGCCCCCCTGGCACAGGTCCACGCAGAGGCCTAGAACCTGTGGCTTGTGAGCTAGCATGCTGTCAGTCCCCGCCCTTCTGACATCTCCCGGTCCTGTCTGGCATCTCCAGGCACGTGTCCCACCTAAGTCACCAGAGAGTTCCCTTCCCAAATGACCAGCGAGTTCAGGTCGGCAGGTCTCCTGCGAGTGACTGTAAATCACCCTTCCCTTTGTCTGGTGTTCTCTAAGGATGGGACACTTCCTCTTCACTTGCCATTGTACCACCAGCATCATAATTTGAAATCTAAATCTAGTTTCTCATTCTACAGTTACTTTATGTGTTTTGAAAGTGTGGGATGCATTTCCATTTCGCATTTGTTTGTTTATTTGTTTTTGGGACAAGGTCTCACTAGGTAGCCCTGACTGGCCTGGGAATTGCTACGTAGACCAGGCTGGCCTTGAACTCATAGAGATCTACCTGCTTCTGCCTCCCCAGTGCTGGTCTTAGAGGTGTGCACCACCATGCCAGCTGCTACACCGCTTGTTTAACTCTTGTCATTGATATTTGTAGACAAACCCACCGGTAAGAGATGTATAAGAATTTTTTTGTAATGACTTTAAAAAAATTTAACCAGACACAACTAATAACTCGATTAAACATAAATGGATAATTTTAGGAGTTGGCCCATTACTACTAATTAGGAAGCGAGGACAGAATGTTTTAGTGCTAAATAATTGGAGATACCCTGAAATCCATTTTAATTTATGGATCAAATGATTGTTGCCAGAATTAAAATTTTTAGTAATCCAAACATTACAATACTAATCTTTGATTCAGACTTGAGACATATTCTATTATGGTAAATCCTAAGTATAAAATGTAAACCTTTATTTCGCTATCATTAAAGTAAAACCCTGATGTATTGTTGAGCCCTGATCATTCACATGTCAACTAGGTCCTTGGAAATCAATGTCTGCTTTAAAAGTAGAGCAGGAGAATTCTCTCTGCTAAAGAAAACCAAGACTCTCTTTTAATTTACCTTATAGCTAGGTGGGAAATATTGATGTTACTAGAAGGAACAACTTGCTGGGTCTGTAACAACAACAGTACTAATAGCTACCACCGTACCTCAGTGACTGGGAATTGGTTATATTTACTAACTTACTTAATCCTCACCAGAGCACCTAAGGAAGAACGTCCTCACCATAACTCACTATTGCATGAATTGTTAGAAGGTCTTATCAATAAAAACAAACTCGGAGCCAGGTATGGGATGAACGCTGAAAGATCAGAGAAGCAGAATCAGAAAGATCAGAAGCCACAACCACCTCACCTCGACAGTTCCTCAGCTGATCCTGTTTCCCCAGACTGGAAGCCTCTGAGTCCTCATCCAAATGGATCTCAGCTGAACTGTTGCTCAAAAGCCTAAAAGCTTAACCAGCCTAGTTCCTGGTCCTCACGCCTTATATACCTTTCTGCTTTCTGCCATCACTTCCTGGGATTAAAGTCATGAGTCACCATGCCTGGCTGTTTCCAGTGTGGCTTTAAACTCACAGAGATCCCAATGGATCTCTGCCTTAGGAATGCTAGGATTAAAGGCGTGTGTGCCACCATTTTCTGGCCTCTGTATCTAGTGGCTGTTCTGTCTCTGACCCCAGGTAAGTTTATTAGGGGGCACAATATTTTGGAGAACACAATATCACCATAACTCACATTTCTACTCTTGGGGCTGTTTAGTCACATGACTATCAAGGCACACGGCCAGAGCCTGAGGGACCTTCTTCCTAGCTTCCTTGAGAGTGGAAGCTGTGGTGCTCCTGACAGACATAGGGGAGGTACTTGCTTTCTTTCTCACTTTCCTTCCTTCCTTCCTTCCTTCCTCCCCCCCCCCCCCCCCCCCTTTTTTTTTCTTTTTTTCCTATTTTGGTTTTTTCAAGACAGGGTTTCTCTGTGCAGCCCTGGCTGTCTTGGATCTTGCTCTGTAGACCAGGCTGGCCTTGAACTCAGAGATCCACTTGCCCCTGCTTCCTGAGTGCTGGGTTTAAGGCGTGTGCCACCACTGCCTAGCATAGGGTCTGTTTTTACTCTGTGGACACAACAGTCCTGTGCATGGGAATGAAGCAGTCCCCCCAGATGAAGCTCCCAGTAAGCTTAGGATACCTGAAGCCCACTGATAGTAAGGAAGACCCAATTCTTTAACTTGGACATTTATGCACCCATCCATCCATCCATCCATCCATCCATCCATCCATCCATCCATCCATCCACCCAGCTTTCACGGGCCTCATGGGCTAGTGTGTCAGTCTGCTGCTCCTTAGAACGCTTTCGGTTTAACTGCAGACCCTCAAGCGCTGGCACAGACGCAACTGTGTGCTTTGAAGCTGACTAGTTTAGCAGATCCTCTGATGCTGCTGGGCCGGGGGACGGCGGCCATCTTCCCAGAGGTTCAGACCTCTCCCACGCCAGGCTGGCCACTGAGAGAAATGCTCGTTTCCTAAGGTCTTCATTCTTCCTCTAATGCACACAACTTCCGGCTTCCTTTCAGCAAGCGTCCTTTCTCCATGTAAAACTCAGGCATTTAGAAGTCTGTAGGGCCACTCTGTTTCCCCTGCCTTTTGCTGAGGTGTGGCTAGCCTCTCCTCCTCCTGTGCATTCACAGCCCAGCTGACCTCAGGCGCCTTGTAACTGCCTGTCTGGGCTCTGTCCAGGCCTAGCCAGGATCTTACCCTCGGGTAACCTTTTAGGACTATCCAGGTGACTTCCCTGTCACCATCAGAATGTTTCAGCAGGCCCCTAGTATTTGTTGAGTGCTGTGAGCTCTGACGCTTGGTCCCAGGAGCAGAGCACAGTGGTGCAGAGCCGGCACTCACCAGGGCTCAGTGAATGTGGAGCAGTCTGCTGGAAGGGTGGACTCCCAGACTGATACCCCGATCTTTGGATGCTGAAATCAGCTGGCCCAGTGAGCTTCAGAGAGACCCCTCTTCTAGTGGTCTGGCCTCATTTCATCAGAACCAGCTGATCTGATGTAATAAACTCCACCTGCAGGTGCCATGAGCCGAGGCCCAGGCAGGTGAGTTTAAATAGTGTAGTGTCTGGATGTGGGTAAATCTGGGACAAGATGTTTTATTATACCTTGATCCTCACTCAGCTATAAAAGGGAGCTAAGAGCACTGTGGAGGGGCCTAGTGAGGTAAAGTTAAATTACTCCTTTAAAAACAACAACAACAACAAAAAACCTTTGAAATGATAAAATATTGACACTAACCAGAAGGCACAATAATATCTATGCTAGCATCGCAAATGAAATCTAACCCAGCTTTGCCTAGCTGTTTATTTTCAAAGCAATGTCAAATTTCTTATTTATCCACCTTAGCAGTGCCCTTTATCTGAAAAATATGTAAATCTATTTAAATCAATTTCCTGTAATACCACACAAAACAATAATCATATTAGTACCATTCATGATGTACTAATAACATGAACATAATTGCATTCGAATATGAAATTGCTAGGTAATAGGCCTTTCATAAATTGTTTTGGGTGAATGCCATTTTTAACCTTACTCTAGGCCATTAGTTCCTGATTTGATGGGGGAAATATCTTGTATGCCCTGTGAGACAGTTTCCCTGGCTGTTGCCTGCACAAGGGAGACACTAAAAGCTTTTGTCACTAGAAGGGAGGGGTGTGGAGAGCAGCTTGTGTCTCAGGGTAAGAGGCCTTTCACTGTGGCCTTCTCAGGCATGCTCTGTCATCAGGGGGAAAGGATGGGGCTGTCACAGGAGCCTCACACCCACCCGTGCAGAGAGTCTGGGGCTATGCTCCGGTGAGCTGCCGTCCTTTGGGGAAGGAGGCCCTTGGTTACAATGACTGCCTCGCAGGCACTTGAGGCTGCTGGCTCCCTTACCTCAAAGTCTTGGCCATAAGTTACAGGGCTGTGTGTGGCAGGGGGAGGCAAAATATCCAACTAAGAAGTTGTTAAAACCTGAGGCCTTGAGGCAGGAATATAAATTTACTTTTCACACTATCAGGAAATTCATATTTCAGGCCAGCCAGACCGTTTCTTGCCTGAGAAACATCACTGAAGGCAGAGACTGCTGTGTGCAGGTCTGGATGGAGCCAGTGCAGGGGAGGATGTAATGATTTGCCCACGGTACATCCAAGTAACAGAGCCGAACCATAAATTGCTTTCATAGACATGTGCTAATTTGTGATTTGTTATTAGACATGAAAAAGGAGAGGTGGCATTGTCACTGGGTGGATCAGAGAGATCCATTCCAGTTTGATCAGGCCCTGGGAGCTGCTGGGTAATTATGAAGCTACCGTGAACCTACATGAAGGGGATTCCCCCTGGACTCAGAGTTCAAGTGTACATTTCTACACAGGATCTCCTCCCAGGGACCCTGAGAGGCAGGCAGGGACCAAGAAAACATTTTCTCTTGACTTAATTTCACTTGAAAGATTTTTTTTTAAAGCACTTTTCAACATAAATGATATTTCAGCAGAGATGAGTTCACTGTGCTTTCTCTCAAATTTAGAACGATACAGCAGAACTGTGGGAATTTAAATAATACTACATGGTGAATAAAGACAAATAGCTCAACATCATGGGTTGGGAGCATTTTTCCAGAGTTTAGTTTATTACAGAGTACGTTTCTATACATTTGTGGTAACTTTCCCCCTCACATTCAAAGATAACACCAATAAACAATATTGAAACTAGAAGCACTGACCCAGCAAAAAGGTTCATAAATTTATCCTGCCCGTAGCTGAGACCAGCGCCTGGCACACTACAGCCCAAAGTCATGCGCCTAACGGGCTGGAGGGCTTATGAATTTACGGGCTGAGAACTTTGTGGACTAGATTGCTATTAGTTCCCAGGCATCCTCTGAGATAGCCAATGCCCAGAGAGAGGACAGTGTGTTCCCTGCCTGGCGTAAGGGCAAGGAGGCAGAGGTGAGGTGACTGGCAGGGTGCAGAAGGCAGCTTGGGGCCCCTTGGATTGGGAGTCAAGACATGGGAGGAAAGGAGTGCTTCTGGGGATGGATCATACACCCTGCTTCAGACACTGGCCTCCTTAGGATGGCAGGGTCCTGTCCCGATACAGTGCCACTGGCTACGCATAATTTTAATACACTATCCAAACAGGTGATTGAAAAAACAAAGTTCCCCCTCACCTACAGGGTCCTGAGACCTTGGGGAAGCACAGTTAAGCAGCAAGCCCACGTCCCTAGGGGCACCCATGCCAAGGAGCATCAACCCCAAGCAGCCTTCTGTGTGAGCTCTTTAAATTCAGCTTTGTGAGTAGGAGAGGAAGCTTGGAGACAGGAAGCCTTCTCAGAGCAGCCAGCGTGGAAGGAGGTCAGGGGATTGTCTCCTCTGCATCCCCAACAGTGTTCTTTCCCTGTCGCTATCCACGGATGGCCACAGGGTCCCGCTGGGGGGGTGGGGGGTGCCCAGACTGCATTTGCATAACGCATTTACATCTGAAGGGAGCGCACAGATTGGCAGCTCCCCAAGCTTTGGCTAGGCACAGATTTCTACAATGGCAATTAGGAACCGAAATGGACCGACAATAGCCACTGAAGTACAGTTGCCAGAGCTGTGGGAAGAAGGAGCCGAAAAATCCCGGCGCTTTAGAGGACTGAGCTGTGAGGAATGGCAGAGTTAGAGACCAACTGACCCTTGTTCTTTGTGTGCTGCCAGGGAGGCCTGGGAGGGACCAGGACGATCCCCACTCACTCATGTGCTTGGTGCCGGAAGGAAAGGGGGGGGGTGTCAATTAGGGGTGGGGCAGGGGCCTGCCGGGGACCTGATGATGGAAAAGGGGCTCCGGGGACGGCCTGGATGCCAGTGAGCAGAGAGCCTGCGATACTTGACACTGCAGAGGACTCCAAAGATGGAGGGCAACATGCCTGGGCTGGATGGAGGCCCTGAAGGGCTCTTCCGCCCTGTGACGGAGCAGAGAATCCTCTTTCTGAGGGCATGAGTGTTTCAAGCCTGGGACTCAGGTGGCATTCCAGAGGGCTGCAGTGTGGCAAAGCTCTTCCTTCTCCCCAGCTTCCCTCCCGCTCCCTGGGCCTCAGGGGACAGCTATAGTAGGACTCCTCCCCCAGATGAGGAAGGGACAAACACGGGGGAGGAGGGACATGGGAAAGGTCACAGGTCAGAGATTAAAAGGTGAGAAGCAGTGCTCAGAACCTGATGCCAGAGTAGAACGCTCTAGAAGCTAGTCTCCTTCCAGGCCCAAAGTGGGGCATGGGTGGAGTGGTTGGAGTGTTGGTTAAGATGGGTCAGTTGAGTCAATAAATGGAGACCTTAGAGGGTCTGAGGACACCTGGAGGATGGGAGCTGTGATAGAGACACTTCCAGGCCAGGCACAAGTGTCAGTGGCTGAGGATGTCAGCATTTAACCAAACCTCATCTCTTAGGACGATGATTTCCTAAGTGCTCTCTGCTTCTCCCTTGGCCCTTCTCAGATCCACATGTAGATCTTCTGAGGATGGATGGACCAATGGACTCCTCCTGCGTACAAGTTCCTGATGCAGCTTCTCATCCCAGGTCCTGCCTGAGTCCCGTGGATGTGACCTACTTTGGAAAGGGTTCTCTAGGAAGGTGGGTGTGGTGGTACAAGACGGCAATCCCAGCAACTGGGAGGTGGATGCAGGAGGATCAGGAGTTCAAGATCATCCTAATTACAAAGTGAGTTCCAAACCAGCTACATGTAACTCTATCTCCCTCACTCCACAAAAGAGGTATCCTCACACTCAAAAAATGCTAAGGAAAAGTTGATATGTAGATACATAGGTACAAGCCAGCACAGGAGAGCAGAACAGTAATCAACAATGGATCTCAGGAGATTAACTAGCAGAGGAAAGGAAAGTGCCAATCAAGTGAGGAGGCTACCCACAGAATGGGAGAAGATCTTTGCTGGTTCTTCATTTGACAGAGGATCAGAGTTTAGAATATACAAAGAGCTCAAAAACCTAAACACCAAGAAAACAATTCAGATAAGAAACGGGTTACATAACGAAGCAGAAAGCTCTCAAAAGAAGAAATACAAATGGCTAGGAAACACATTAAAAAGTGTTCGCTGTCAGCAGCCATTAGGGAAGTGCAGATGAAAATCAACTTAAGATCCCCTCTTTCCCTAGGCAGAATGCCCATCACCAAGGACACCAGCAACAATATATGCTGGTGTGACGGATGTGTTGGTAGTGAACTAGTACAGCCACCTTGGAAATCGGTCTGGAGATTTCTCAAAAAATTAAAAATAAAATTTACCATACAACCCAAATATACCATCTCTGGGGTTATCCCCAAAGCACTCTACACCCCACCCCAGGAAAACCTGCACTTCCATGCTCGCTACTCATTCACAACAGCTATTTGCAACCGATGAGTGGATAATGAAGATGTGGTTCATATTTACAGCGGAGTATGACTCAGCTGTAAAGAAACACGAAACCACAAAATTGGCAGGGAAATGGATGGAATTGGAAAAGATTATTCTAAGCTGTGTGATCCAGGTGCAAATGGGCATTGCACATTCTTTCTCATGAGGCTCCTAGTGTCCACCCTTTATATCGTGTGTCCAATATGAGTATTTGTGCAAAAGCCAGGAAACAAGGTGGGGAATGGGCAGGGGTTGGGGTAGGGATGGGAGGGTCAGAAGGGAGAGGGGATTGGTCACTTAAAGGGAGGGGGGATAGATAATGCATCATAGATTTAAAAAAGTAAAGAGGGAGGTGAGTGGGGGGTTGTGGAGATGAGGGTGTGGGATGCAGGAAGAATTAACTAGGATAAAAAGAGTGTGAAGCAGCTAGTTGGAAAACAAGATGTGCCCATCTTTGCAACAGCAGCTTGACTGTAGAGGGGATAACCAACTATCCTTTCAAAGGATTCAAGACCCACTCCACAGGGACAGGGGATCAATGCCTGGTACTGTAAGCCTGGCTAACAGCTCAGGCTCGTGTGTGGACATATTTCTGATAGTTAAATAAATGGATGCAGGAGCAAATGCCTTCTAAACACTTGTTTATACCCATAGACAAAAGCACCCCCACCCCCCCACCCCTCGCCTTCATCAGAGAAGCTGCTCCTCTGAATTAGTATCTGTGGAGACTCATGGCTGCACAAGATGCAGAAATGACGCGATGGATGTGGGTCCAGCCCTAAAGGAGTCCAGCCCTTCTACAGTTGCAGGGCGCCGTGGAAGAGTGGGTGGGACGTATGGAAGACAAGAAGACAGGGTGCTGGGCTCTGAAAAGCCATTCCTTAGACACGAAACAACTATTGTAACCATTCAGTCACAGCAAGACTAGGTCCTTACAAGACAGTTTACAGACAGTTAAGGAAGGGTAGTGGCTCACAGGGCCCCGCCCTTTGCCTGTGAACTATTGGCTACTGATACATTTTAGGAAGGGCAGGGTGAATCCCTGCCTTCAGTTGTGGCCCACCACTGAGACCACCAGGTTCCAATGGGTAGCTTCATTCGCTGATTGACCTTAGTGAGTCACAGAACAAAACCAATGTACATGAGTGTGTGAGAGAGATTTACGGGGAGGGTGCCTATGTGCAGAGGGGAGGTAGGAGGTGAGAGTAGCCACTATGCAAAGTGAACATATGTAAAATTATAGACAATACACTAAAAATAAAGATGATTACTAAAAGGGGTCTCTTCAGATATGCAGAAGTTGAAACTGTTGCTGTGAACCCATCCTGAACTTGGGGTGAGCCCAAATCCAAGGACACATGCTCTTATCACGTGGGAGTGGACCATGTGAAGGTGGAGACAGAGACAAGAACCCTGTGTCTGCCAGCTCAGGATGCCCAGTGTGCCTTGTACCCTAGGAAGCTGAGGATGCACACCTGCGTGGCAGGTGCCTTCATGTTGGACATCTGCTCTCCACAGATGTGTGACCTGCATTTCTGATACCTGAATCATCTGAGCTGTCATCTGTACAGACCATCATTGCTCATGTGGGTAAGTTTGCACCTGAGCTGCTGGCCATTCCCTTCCCTTCCCATCTCTTCCCATGGCCTCAGAACACAGACATGTTCCCTCAACGCCTCCCATATGCTTTCTCCTGTGTGTACCCATCATCCTTTGCAACTTCAATGTCCCCTTCATGTCCAGGTCTTCCCTGAGTGCTTTATTTTAAATTGCACCTCCGCTACCCTGGATTCTCAGATCTTTACTTTTTGTTCATGGAATTCATCAGCATCTGTAGGCCATCTAGTTTGCCTGTGTCTTTGTTTATCCTATCTCCCCTTGGCCTAGTCACCCTGCAGACGCATGTGCTGGCTGAGCTTTCTGCTGGATCCAGCACCCAGGACAGCATCATTAGGAGGCCAGGACTCAGTGGTTCTTGTACACAAAGACACTGAATTAGGAGCTGGAATTTAGTAGATAATAAAACAGGCATTTAGAATTCAATGGGGGAGGATTATCTGATACATGATTTTGAGATGCAGCATATTAGAGAAAAATTTATTTTAGGTACCATAGCCTTCCTGTCTGCTAAATGAAGACTATTCAAATATGTTTAAGAACCTACCAAAAAATTAGAGATACTGTGCAATACTATGTTATGCTGGAGAGGGAGAATCCTGAAGACCAGAAGCAGGAGGGCAAGTTCCACAGCTAACAGTAATCAGTCTGCCATTTAAAATCCAAAGCCTTTGTGGGGTCACAGCACCTGGCTGCAGGCCTGCCACAGGTCTTCTCATCTTCCCTCACTGGCCTCCTGCCAAGGTGCACATGCCATCAGCGAAGCCCAGCTCCCTGTTCAATGCCTGGGTTTACTCGTGGCCTAGAGGGCCATGCTGGTGGCCTCAAAGCATTTGAGTGGCCACTGCCTATCAGCCACCTTTGACCCTGGACCGAGTCACCTGCCAGCCTGGTAGCCTTCTCCCCAGTCTTTGACCGACACTGGGCTGGGCAGATTTCCCGGGAGCTGGCTCTGCCCTCGTGTGCTGGAAGCATTCTCTCCTTGCTTACTCTCCCTCCCTCATACCTTGGAAGCTGTCACATCTGCCTAGCACTAAGGGTGTGGCCAGGGAAAACCTGGACTGATGGGCATTGCCAGGGACACAGACCCGGGGTCCTGGGTCCTTGGAGGATGGCAGATTTACATGGCAACTGACTTCTCAGAGTGATGAGCTCTTCAGTCTGCACTGCAGCCCAGGGTGAAGCCGAGGTTTCACCCTCATTGGAATGGGATCCTGCCTGAGAAGGCCTGTGGTTTGTATGACTATGTAGCTGGCTGGAAAGGAACGTATGAAGGAAACCAGGGCCCCAGGCAATGGGAGAGGCTGGGGCTCATCTCTGCTCTGATTCTCCTGCTTCACGGGCCCCCGGGAAGCAGGTGGCTCTGCTTCCCTCAACAGAGTCCCGTGGCTCGCAGTGGGTCCAGGCTCAGCAGAGGCACCACTCACTCACACTGTCTGCACTGCCCTCAGGTCGCCTTGCCTTGGACAGTGACCTTGAGCAGAGGGCACTTTGCATTCCCTGAGCCCACACGCCACCCCACCCTGAGCTGAAGAGCCCAGACTATGTGCTGACGTGGTGATCCCTTCACAACTGCTTTGTCCTTCAGGACTGTGGGGGAACAAGTGACAATGGACCAGCTTGTGGGGTGCAGGGTGGAATTTCAAGCCCCTGCCTCGGTGGTTGTGCCTCAAGTGACAAGGGCGTTTAGTCTCCTCCTCTGCCCCTCGGCCTCCTCAGCTCTGGCTGGGCTGCTGGTTTTTCCACTGGAGGGGAGACTGGCAGAAATGTCTTAGCTCAGAGAATGACGACGACATAACGGTGGAATTTCTGGCTTAGGGAGGCACCTGGCGAGGGGAGGTGGTTCTGTGTTCCTAACCTCTTCTCATGTTACTCTAGCCCTGTGAACACACATCATGCTTCTAAATGGAGAGTGTGGTCGGGCTTGGGCTGGGGCGCAGACAGCTTTAACTCCGAGATGCTTTGCTACTGTTCTGCAGAGCCAGGCAACCAGACTTGACGACTTTCTGGGGCTCTGTTTCCTGTCCTGTGAAGGAGACAGCTTTGGAGAGACAATCTAACGTTCTTCCCACCTCTAAAATCTTCAGTGTTTACATAGAGATTTAAACATTTGCTCTGAAATTTAAAAAAATTTCCATTCGTTCAGAAACTACAGAATCATTTTAGATCTCAACCAACAGGATGTTTCTTAGAACTGTCATAAGACTTTTCCCCTTCTGGGTTCTTTTAGTGTGTAACATTTTTTGATGCTCCTGAAATCAGAACGGACTGTACCAGTGATAGCGAAGGAACATGTACACACTCACACTCACATATACATCACCCTCGAATACACACAGACAGGTGTCAATCCATTCCCCAGCGCACACACGCACACACACACACACACACACACACACACACACACACACACACATGCTCGCACACACATGTATGCACACCTGCCCTCACCTGGCCTCCCCATCCCAGGCTACTGGGTGCTACACATGATCTAGGAGCTAGACTCTTTCCAGAGTGACAAGGGTGTTTAGTCTCCTCCTCTGCCCCTCGGCCTCCTCAGCTCTGGCTGGGATGCTGGTTTTTCCACTGGAGGGGAGACTGGCAGAAATGTTACCGGACTTAGGTACACCTATCCCTGTGCACTGTGACGAAGAAAGACCTCATGAGCTGTGGCAAGCAGCAGAAAGCTGCAGAACGTAACTGGAACAGCCTAAGAAACCAGAGCCACTGGCTGAAGATGGCCTCAGACTGGATGTAAGCAACTGGCCAAGGAGCTGCTGAATTGCCGAGGCATGGATACGGTGAAATCACAGATGCATCCTGGGCAGCCCCCAAACTCCTCAGGGCAGAGCTGGAGTTGCAGAGGTTCTTGGCAAGGACTTAGCATGCTTGGTTCTTCATCGAGATGTGGAAGTCTAGGAAATGGATGCAACAGTGTTGTCTCCACCGGCCTGGAGAGGTGGTGAGCAGGATGGGTAACACTCCCTAGTGTTTCAGCTGGTAATTCATTTGTAGCCACACATCCTTATATAATGGCAGTGGAGCACTGATAATGATGAGTGCTAACTACCAGGCAGCCACTGGGCAAAAGTCTCTAGCATTTCACTTCCTGCTCCAGTGGCTCTGAGGCCCATTCAGTGTCATGGTGCAATTGTCATTTTCCTGGGTGTGTGGTGGCTAATTGGGACATGTATCTGCGGCCTTATGGCCAGTTGGAAGAATGGTGTCAGTGGTCCAAATGGGTGATGTTGGCCAGGGGCTTTGCCGTGGACACTCCAGATGGTGGGGACTGAGTCGGGGAGGGAGAATATTGAATAAACTTCCTCAAACCATCTGGTCACCCCCCACTTCCCTTCCCCTCTGCCTCAAAACTGCTCTCACTTCCCTTCCCAGGGGAACACAAAGGCTGTCAGTGTAAACATACGCCTTCTGACTGGGTTGCATGGAGGAGCTAGCCCAAAGGCCGGTTACTGGAGTGGAACTGGTCATCCATCTCACCTGGGCAGACTGGCTCTTCCCACTAGCATCAGCCACAAGTCCCTGTGGGCTTTAAGTCTGAAGATGGCACCATTCATGGAGCCTACTCAGTCCTCAGCCACCATAAGTTCAATCCCAGGATGTAAATGATTTGTAGCCTGTTCAGGAGGGAGAGAGGCCGCCACCTTCTAAATGGCTCATGCCCATAACCAGAATTCATTTGTGAATTTCTCAGTCATAATTGTACTTATAATTTATATTGATAATATCAGCTCATCAGTCAACAATGGAATCAATTTATCAATCCAGTTTAATGATTTTATTAAGGGGTCTTGTGTTTTTTAAAAATGGATACTTTCCATTTTTAAAATATATTCATTTTTTAAAAATGGATATATTTCTTGTTTTGATCTCTTGAAACTCTTATCCATGTTATTCTCTTAATGTTGGGCAACAATAAGAAATTTAAGTTTGAGGACAGCTGCTGGTCCACAGGTGGGACAGTGTTGGCCCAGACACTGTGAGCAGGTGTGTAGCTTGATGTGCAGGCCATAGATCATTATCAAACTACTACTACTTGGCTTTTCTATTGCCGCTAAAGGAACACCCGTGTTGAAAATGACTTCTCTCTGCTCGTGAGTCTCTTTACAAACAAGCTGGACCCCCAGCGTTGCTTTGCACTGGCAGCTGCCTGAGCACCTTCCCTGGACGTGAGCCTGAGCCTCTGCGTAGTCAAGACTCTCAGAAACCCGGAAGTTGTCAGACATCGGAGAGCTTTGGATTAGATTTAGACTTCTCTTAGAAACTAGGGATGCACAGCTTGGTGGGATGAAGTGACTGCTGGTCCACTGTCACATCCAGATAAGCACTGGACAGACGTGCAGGGGAGAGGCCACTTCTGGACAGGTGTGCAGGGGAGAGGCTTTTAGACGGATGTGCAGGGAGAGGCTGCTTCCGAATGGGTGTGCAGGGGAGAGGCCGCTTCTCAGAAGACTGTGTTTCTACTCTAATAGATCATAGTACGAAACTATTCAACTAATGCAGGACTGGCAGAAAGATTTCTTTCGACAAAGTGCGTGTAAAGCAAAATGAAACAAAACCAGACCCTAACATTGCCCTCCAAATACCTAAAAAGCAAACACAACCTTACTCAGTGTGTAAAGAAACTGAAAGAACACAACCCAACGCTTGACCAACGCACGGCTGCCTGGCCGTGAGCACCAGTTCTAGCACAACAACGGTACCAATGCCTTCTTTGATTCCCAGTCACAGCTGAATGGAACACAAAAAGGGAATGTTTTCCTTGCAGGGCACATGATGGGGGTGGCCTCCCTGCTACCCGTGTGACACCCGGCAAGCTCTCTGCCTGGCACCCACATCTCTTTCTTGTTGTTATCTCCCTGGCCTCCGCAGAGCAGACAGAAGTGCTGGTACTGGTCGCCGTTCTGTGGAGTGTGGAGGTGGCCGCATCTCCGACAGGGTCCCCAGGGGAGAGATGACAAACTGCACCAGGACCCCGGGTTTCCACCCAACAGGAATCCATCTTTTCAAAGGCGCTTGCTTACAACATAAAACAAAGCACAATAGAGCCATTTCACAGGGGAGAAAAGCAGCAGCAAAGGGTTGTTCCTGACCTGTGTGGGGCTGGGGAAAAGGAGACACATTTCCTTGGTTTACAGATGAGATGGGACAGCGGCAAGGCTTCTGTGATGGGCTGTGGCGCTGTCACAGACGTTTGTGAACCACTGTCACAGCTGGCCTGTTACGGGGCGGGGGATCTCACCGCAAGGACTATCGCTTTGACCTGAGGCTCACAGACTTAGCTGGGGTGTCCAGGTGCTAGAGGAGCTCACGGGGCCTGGTCAGCTCTCTGAGTTCTGGCTCTGCTCTGTGCCGAGTCCTGTGTCTCACTGTCCGTCCATGCTGGAGCTGCCACGGCGAGAGTGGGTTACACAGTACCTGAGCGTTAGAGGGTAAGAAGCGCTTTCGGCGTAAGAGGCAAACGACACCGCAATTCTTGACCTTCAATGCTTTTGGCAATATAACTCTCTTTTGTATCACGGGTACGTGAACTAAGTCCAGAGATACACAGTAAACGGAAGGCAGAACTGAGGATTCCATGGGACAAGGCAGGCCAGATTTGAGCTGTAACAGAGAGCAGGGAGTCTATAGAACAATGTTTTCCAAAAGCAACTGCCTTGTGTTCCTCTAGGATGTGGCTCATGGAGGCAGAAAGGGCAACACCTTCTTCAGCCCAGATGGCACCCCTTTACACCCGGGTTCCCTTAACACACGTGTCCAGTGCATTCCTGACCTCCCCTCAACTCTCAGGAACGAGCAGTGCTCACTATATCGTGAGGCCAGGCTCCTAGGGGGAAAGTGTTTTCCTGGCTCGAGGCAGGGCGTCAGATGACCAGACTCTTGGAACATGTTCACTTGGACCTCCCCATCATCGTCCTACACTTTAATTTGGGCCCCTGGCCATTATCGAAGAAACAGTCATAAGGACCACTGTACCTGCGTCACAAATGTGGACAACCTTGTCCCTTGCGGTGTAGGACTTTGTAAAGCGATTGTGGCACCCCAGGTAACTGGCCTCAGCTGGAGTCCTGAGGGGACAGACTCATGGGGATGAAGAGGCAGGGCTCTTTGTTTCTGGAGGAAGTGGGTGTGTGTAGGAGGCCAAGAGGAAGATGGTCTCATTTCCTTTGCTATAGGAATTGAGGTGGAAAAGACAATGCTCGGGGGCTAGGTCAAGGGTTGCCTTGGACATTTTTCCTTGAAAAGGCCCAAGGGCCCCAGCAAAGCTGCTGGCTGGGAGCTCAGCAGAGCAGAGAGCTGCTGCTGGTGGTGGTGGTGGTGGTGGTGGTGGTGGTGGTGGTGGTGGTGTGTGTGTGTGTGTGTGTGTGCGCATGTGAGTGTGTTTGTGCTTGGAATAAAGGGTTAGGAAGCTGAGACTGAATGAGACATCAAGGGGGAAGACAGGCAAAGAACAGAAGAGAACCAGGCAGGGGGGCTCCAGGAAGTGTGATCCCTGCCTCCCTTCAACTCAGAACCACCAGCACCCACCTTTGTATGGTGGCCTGGCAGGGTCGACTGCTTCCTGAGGAATAAAACCATGCTCAGTGGGGGCCCTCTATGGCTACTCCAAAAGCACCCTGAATCTGATAACCTGATAAATGTTATTTCGCTTCAGGCAGTAATTATAATTCAGACTGAAATGGACATTTTGAAAAGGCAATGGTTTACAGACCCAACGGTTAACAGAAACAGTTTATGGAATTGATTTGCGTTAAAACATGCCCCCAAAGTTGACGTTCAAAGATAAAACCAGAATAATCTTTCTTTAACATCCTCTGGCAAAATGACGTCTCGGTTTATTTAGTTCAATTATAAATGATGAAATGTATGAAATCGATACTGTTTGTTGGAAAATGTAGTCTGGGAAACAGAAACGGACGTTTGAAAGCATCAGTGGTAGAAGATGAAGCCCGCTTGCCCCCAACATGTGGACAATTAGTTTCTTCCTAGATGGCCACTCAGAAGAGTCACGTGCAATTTATTTCCCTCTATTAAAGCCCCAGCAGTTTTATTGCTATGCGGTTTCTCAGTGGCTGAAATACGTTGTTTGCCAACATTAAAATCTTACATTCTCACATCAGTATTGTCTAAAAGACACTTCATTCAGCATTATCCACTTTCATTCTCCCCAAAGATTACATCAAAATTCCGAAGCCTTACTTTGGCAGCTAGATGGCTGGTACCTCAGGAGGACAGACGTGTTGGGCAACGAAGCAATAGTTGACGTGTTTTGTGATACGTAATGCTACTGTGGTTGGGCTTCTGGAGCCCGGGGCTTGTGTTCAGCCTCACTGGCCCTTGCAGGGACTAGGTGGGGACTGGGGGAGGAGCTATGGTCAGAGTCTGGCATTCTCTACAGCACAGACCATGCACGCACGGCAGGGCTTCTCTTCTGTGAACAGGAAGGAGGGCAAACAGGGCAGCTTGCTCCCAGGATAGGGGTCTTCAGTTGCTAGACAACAGCTGGGCGCTGCAGGAAGCGTCCCCCGTGTCCAGAATGTGTGCACAGAGCCCACATTTTAGCTCTGGGAGGTCCAATAGTACAGAGAAGGCTGATAATTTAGGCTAGATCCTAGATTACATCCATAGAAAAACATCACAAACTCACTCTGCCCAAACCAAACGCAGCGGGAAGAACTGAAGACTCGCTCTAGGGGTGGAATTCTCCTCAGAGGAGGGTTCTACTGAGAAGGACACAGTCGGATGGCAGTAAGTGTGCAGCCTTCTCTTGTTCTGTGACGAGGGGTGAAGAAAGCTCCAGATTAGACACTTGGGGTTTGTTTGAAGTCACATGTGGCACTGAAATCATCTCTGTGAATCACTGGGTAAACACAGATGTGGCCAGGAGGTCAGATTTAAGACTGTGAGTGACACTGTTGAGGGCTTGTGAGCCTCTGCTGCAAGGTTTGGCCGTCACACCCCACTTCTGCAGGAACACCTATGGTCGCTGGCCCTGGCTTATCCGCTGTGGGGCAGGTTCTATGGCTTCCCTTCTGATCCCCGGGACTTGGGACTTGGGTGCCTAGGCTAATTTTTTTTTTCTTTCTTATACAGAGTTTCGAGATATAGCCATGGATGGCCTAGAACTCACAGAAATCCACCTGCCTCTGCCTCCTGAGTATTGGGATTAGAGGTGCATGTCACTGCGCTTGGGCAAGATTAAGTGTTAAAGCAATAATGATGATGATGATAATTCATCATCATCATCATCATCATCATCATCATCATCATCCCAGGCAAGTGCTAAGTATGGGAACCTGGTTCTGCCCCAGCACCCACGTAAAGCTGGACATGCAATCCCAGCACTAGGGAGACACAGCTAGGAGGATCCCTTGAGACATTCTGTCTTCAGAAGTAAGGTTGAGGTAACTTAGGAAGACACCAATATCAGTCTCTGGTCTCCTCATACACACATTCACACATACACATGGGTACAGGCACAAGACACACATGAATAAACACACACACACACAAAATCAGCAATTAAGAAAGCTGTTTATCCCCTAAACTAAATAGGCTACAATATCAGTCAAGTTAGCATTTCAGAGTTTAACTCAAGTTCTCTTGGTCTTTGAACAGCCTTAGTTACTTATGGGATGGAGAAGAAAGGAGCAGGGACAGAAGTCTGAGGACCCCATGGTAGGGGTCAGATAGGGCCTGGGGACTCAGTGATGAAGAGGTGGCAGTCCGTTACCCTGCTGTGCCTACACATGTACACGGGGGCTCAATTCAACTCCATACCCTGTTTTGGAAATAAAAGACCAACTTCTGAGAAACACAGAACGAGGCTTGAGTGCCTCAATGTGTACTTAAGACACACTAAAGACTGGGATGGTGCACACATCCCTGGGTGTCTGCAAAGGACAGAGACAGAGCTGCAGGGACATCTCAGATGTGACACCTCATCATGTCACGAGTAAATCCGAGCCAGGTGCATGTCAGGTTCTCCCCCATGGTAGTCTAGTCTCACAGCGACTCCTCTATACAGCAGGGCCAGCAACACCCAGGTGGGGAGAGCTGAGGGAGAGACGGGCCCTTGTCGATAGGGACGTTTGTTTAATATAGAACCACAGCTTCAAAACTCAAGTGGAATCCATCCATGGCACTATCCAGGAATACAATACATGACCTTGGGCCTCAGTTACAGAGAAAAGACAGACATGGAGAGGACTATGTCTGCTGTCATGGGTTAATACATTTATTCAAACATATCTTGACCTATCAGAAAGCAACAGCAACAGAGATAGAAACCCAGACCCACTTAATCATAATGCAGTGTTTCTTTTGGTAGAGATAAAGACATTTGTGTGCAGATGGAAATATCGGCAAAACAAGGTCTGTTTCGACTTCAGTGTGTGATACGTGATGGAGACCCCTTTAGTGTTGGTTTAGGTCTGAGCGTGCTCATTTGGACACCAAAGAAACAATTTTCTCTGTAATATTTTGAGACATCATCATCTTTTCAAATAAAAGGATTTTTCCCCCCTTGCTACAAGTGACACAACGCAATAACCTGGTAAGTGCTATAAAGGTGCTCTGGCTTACACATATTTAATTTTTCCACGGTTACTTTATTAGCTGAGTCCATGGAGGCTGAAATATATTGGATGAGCAATTCCAATTTCCCCTGTTTGTGAGTGTTTGCTAAAACCACAGGAAAATCTGACGTGATCTTATCACCCTTCTGTGTGTGGTGCCCACCTGCTGCCTCTCACTCTTTGGCCTTTTATTAGACGAGACATTTCATAGGACGGAGAAAAGATAATTGTGCCCTATAAATCAAGGCGAGAGGGCTACAGTGATTACAGCCTACCAGTCGGCAAGTGGCACTTTCTAAAATGCATTAGAGTCGTACCAGAGAAGATGCAGGAACATACAAACAGACTCAGCGTTGCCCTGGGAGTCTGTGCAGCCCTCGGCACACGGCAGCATTCATTGATAGAGTCATGTGCTGAGCTATCTGCTGGCCATTAGCTTTCGGTACGACTCAACGGATGATTACCATTTACCTAAATACGCCGCCCGTAAGGACAGGATTTCCACCCAACCCAGCAGGCCCCACAGGGCAGGAGGGAGGGTCTCTCTGTGAATGAGCCTCAATCAATTCCCTGACTTTTGTCTCAGTTTTCTTGTTGTTGCATGGATGAAAAGAGTCATGAATAAGGCGGATAAAGCTCAGTGAAGAGGTATTTTGTGTTTTGTTTTGTTTCATGACCTCGACTTTGGCTCTTATAACAGGGAAAGGAAAGGGAGGAAGGAAGAAATAAAAGAAGGGAGGGAGGGGTGGGGGAGGGGGGGAGGGAGGAGAGGGAGGGGGGAGGGAGGGGAAGGCAGGGAGGGGGAGGAGGGGGAGGGAAGGCAGACAAGCAGTTTACCTCTTGGATAAACCCACTTGGCGGTGACAATGTTGACCGTGAGGTGGAGCACACACTCATTCATATCTTCTCGTTTCCCACCATATTTATTCTCAATGAACGGTGCAAGTCCTGGAGGAGTTGGATTGTCTTGAGACTTAGATGCTTCTGTATTTCTGACCACATGCCTCCATCCTTTGAACTTATGTGTGGCCTCTAGTTCATCATGTTTCTCCTCCAGCCTCCAAGGCACCAGTTTACCTAGCTTTATGGCTTCCCTACGGGTGTGGAATTCAGCCGCTCCCCTTTCTCTGAGTCAGCAATGTGAAGTGTGTTCATCTTTGTTCCAACCACATCCACTAGATCTAATTTCAAGGCTGCGGCATCTGTGTCCTCGCTCAGCCCTGGCCAATTGGATGGCCCTGACTCTACTCGTGGGCCCCTCCTTTGACCCTGACTCAAGAAATGAAGAGCTCCTGAGCTGAGCCTATGTGGAGCCAAGTGAGTTGGCACCTGTGGTACTGGCCACATCATTCCCACTAAGGACAGGACAAGTGATTATGAGTAAATAGTCTTTCAAACATCTATTCTCTGATGTAAAGTTGGAATGATCATACATTTTAAGAATTTGCTTTGAATTCTAACCTGTCATCCTTTCTAGCTTTTAAAAAAAAATGTGTAAATCTATAAAGGCTTGAGGAAAAAGGTGAGAATTTGGTTAAAAACACCCTAAGTGAGCAGCTGGTTATTCTACTGACTTTAACCCTTGGACATTCTGTCATAAAGGTATTAACTCCCAGGTACACTGTAACCCTCACCTTCTCCCTGTGACTTAATGAAATCCACATGGTGTATAAAATCTTATCTGTCTCTAAAAAACATGCCTAAAAACACCAAACATTAATTTTCTCTATAACTTATGTTAATTTAAGCGAGATTGGCAGATAAATATATCAAGTAGACTCAAGTTGCCTTTTGAGGGGATTTAAACACATTAAGAGAAATCCAATGCTTTTCTCTTTTCCTTTACAAATAAAAATTCAGTAAGAGGGCAGGAGAAATCTCTCTAGAACATGAACATGGCTGAGACACAGACCTTTGCATCAGTTCACTGAGGGCAAGAACTTGCTCTCGTCACTCACCAGACACTTCTGCTTAGGGCCCGGACCGGAGATTGGGACTCTTATTGTCCACCTCCCTACCCCAAGCAGCACCCGTGAGATCTCTCCAGTGGGGGCTTGATTGAAGAAAAAGAGTTCCTGGTTTGGTAGCTTTTATTCCTAAAGAAACTAGCTGTCACGTGACTATCGTTGGAGGGAACTAAGGAGGAGTAGGGGCTGGGGTACCATGAAAGCCCCTGGTTAGTGAGTATGTTACTGAAGGACCAACACCTTGCAGGTGGTCAGACTATAGATGCTGGCCGTGAGGCAGCTCGAGCATCTTTGACCCCCTGAACCCACCCCATAGTTGCAGACCCTAAAGTTTCACACCTGAAAGCTGCATTCAATAGCAGAGATTTTATGGATGCTCAGAAGGACAGGAGTAGGGATGCTTTCAGGATGGGACTAGTGAGTTTGTGCCTAGAAAGAAACAAACTGCACGTGTGTGTGTGTGTGTGTGTGTGTGTGTGTGTGTGTGTGTGTGTGCTTGCATATGTGTGTCTTTTTCCTTAAAAGTTCTCTCCTCAGCCAGGCGGTGGTGGTTCATGCCTTTAATCCCAGCACTCGGGAGGCAGAGGCAGGCGGATCTCTGTGAGTTCGAGGCCAGCCTGGGCTATAGAGTGAGTTCCAGGACAGGCTCCAAAGCCACACAGAGAAACCCTGTCTCGAAAAACAAAAAAAAAAAAAACAAAAAAAAAAACCCAAAAAACCAAACAACAACAACAACAAAAATTCTCTCCTCCCTCTGCAGCTTCCTTATCCTGTGGGTGCCATTCTTAATGCCAGGTCCCCACCCAGCTGCCCTTACATCTTCCCTCACATCTCCCATGGCACCCACTCTCCAGTTCCACTCCCTGGTGACTCAGTAAGCTCTGAGCTTCTCAAAGTTGCTGACTACCCACAGTCTTACAAGCACAACTTGCTTGCAGCCTGGAAGTAAGAGAGTGTGTGTGTGTGTGTGTGTGTGTGTGTGTGTGTGTGTGTGTGTGTGCGCGCGCGCGCACGCGCGCACACACACACAGTCATGGCATTATGTGTTAAAGTGCAAATGCCCCATGTTTGATGAGAAGGCTAGAAGTTGTAAGGGGAAGGTACTGAGTCTCAGTGTGCAGGGGAAGGTACTGAGTCTCAGTGTGCAGGCAAAGGGTGGGGGTGGGGGAAGCAGGAGCTCCAACTAGGGAGTCTTTGCTGTGGCTCTGGAAGAGCTCAGGGCTCCAGGCACAACTCCGGGGAGAGGTCAGTTATCAGACTTTGAAGGTCAGACCTTGTAGTCTCTCAAACAGGAAGTGCCTGAAACCAAGTGTGATGCTTAATACCAACTGTCCACTTGACAGGATCCAGAATCGCTAGGAGACAAATCTCTGGCTGTCTGTGAGGGAATTTCTAGACAAGTTAATTGAGGTGGGAAGACCTACCCCACACGTGAGCAGCACCACTCCATGGGCTGAGGTGCTAGATTGAATCAAAAGGGGACCAGGAGCTGAGTGCAAGCAGCCATCTCTGTTTCCTAACCGTGGAGAGAAGGTGACCACCACCTAAACTCCAGACACCACGCTTTCCTTCCCACAATGTGACAGCATCCTTGAATGGTGAGCCAAAATAAGACCGGTCGGCCTTCCTCCCTCCCTCCCTCCCTCCCTCCCTCCCTCCCTCCCTCCCTCCCTCCCTCTTTCCGTTGTTTTTGTCAGGTCTTTTTGTCACAGGACAGAGCAAAGCAGCCAA